AAATGCCTGCGTCAAGATTTCTCTTTTACAAGAGAATTACATAGGTTATCTCAAGCGGTGTTCATGCCACACTGTCAGCAGAATACAACAGTTTTCTGAAATAACTACTTTTTTATAAAGAGAATGTTAAGCAATTTTGACCCACTCATCTCCAACAAAGGCTCCAGTTCTGTGGACAGGAATAGAGCAGGCTCCACACAGTCACCAGGCAAAACTTGACTTCGGAATGGGGACTGCAGCACAGCTTATTTTTAAGCAGCTTTCAGAATTGAGGTGGGGTTTGTGGGCAGAGGGGTTGTTGAGCAGAAGACTTGTTTAAATACATTTTTTTGTCACCAGCTTTTAACCTAATTTTTCTTTATTCTGGATATTTATTCCTCTGCTTTAACAGAAAGAACTAGAAAAGGGAGAAGAAAAAATTTAACTAAACCAGCTTATCCCCTTGAAAAAGAATACTTTTAAAAAGTTATTTCTTCTCTATTATGAGAAGAAACCCCAACAACACGCACAGACATCTTTGTTTTTTAGCCTTATTTCCCCACAGCATCCAGGCTTGGGCAGCCATACAGCACACATGAATAGCAAATATGTGTGCTTACATGCATATGTATTTGACTCTTTCCTGCTCATAGCTTTTGACCAATTTTAATCAGCTTGGGAAAAAGAGTAGGAACCCCCAAAGCACAAAGCGCCTACACTTTTGTGAAGCAAAAGGTAAGAACAGGTAAGAGCTTACTAATACTGCTATGAAGGAAAAGGCTAACCAGCAGTGTCAGAACTGGCATGGAAGAAAGGGACAGCAGCAAGGCTGGCTCAGCTCCTAGAGCTGCCTGCTCCATCAGCCATACCCACTTTCATGCCTACCTGCTTCACGAACAAGTTAATCTTCCGTACTACCGTGACAGACCCAGGAGGAGCTGCTTGCTTACACCAAGCCAGAGTCAGAGGACAACACAGCCCTGCTTCCCGGGGCCAGGTGAAAGCTGTAACCCTAAATAGCAAGTGACAGACCTTTTGTAGGCCTGGGCACTCCAGCATGTAATTAACTCTCTGCTGTTTTCCTCTAGCATTTCCTCTTTTGCACTTGCTTAGCTAGCTTTTTTTAAACATAGATCTCTTGGAGGCAGGGACTGGGTTTCTTTCTGTAGAAGTGTGGCTCTTAACAGGTAGCTTCCGGGTGCTGAAGCAACATTTTTTCTAATATATATACACACAACTTGTAGTATGATTGTAGTATGTAGTATGACTACAAGTCTGTAGTCACAATTGCTAAAGTTAAAAAAAAAGAAAAAGAGCTAGACTGTTACGAATACAGCACTGACTGAAAAACAGAGGAACAAGGAGAGTAAGAAGACACTTCTATTTTCCTTTGGCTCCAGCTGATATATTCTGGGAATCAAATGGAAGTGGCTATGGACACAAACATACCATCGACAGCCGTGGAGAAGTCAGGGAAGCCTCCTTCCCCAGGGTCAGCAATTTGTTTCTGCATTCTTTTGAGCACATTAATAATCCTTTCCCACACAAGAAAGTCACAGAAATAACTGCTTTACAACAGAGCAATCATCCCCAACCCTATACATACAACTTGTCCAAACCAAAGTGACCAGCTACTGACCCGTATATGGTTTCTTGTAGGTGGCAACCTAGACCGCAATTCCCACACAACCTCTCCTGCCTGTCCATGGACCCTGTTGCTACAAGGCAGGCTGCCCACAGGTCCCAAACAAGGAGGAACACCAGCCTAAATTTGAATCCCCTCTGTCTCCTGTGCTTCTGGGCCAGCTCTAAAACAGCTGGCCAGCTTTTGCAATTTAAGATGGGCATGCCATGCTAATCCCACATGCTGATCACCCTTATTAAAGACTTACCCTAAATTAAGCTGACAAAACAAGTTAATTGCTGCTCCTCCCTGCAGTCATTAGCAGCTCCATGTCACTATCATCCCAACACCCACTGTACCACCCTAAGGTCTATAGGTGAGGTTAGTGAGACCGCTTTTTGGTCTATGTTCAGACTTGGCACATTAATTAACATATATATTTTTTGTGAGACTTCTGGCATCTTGCCCGATGCCAAGAATGAAACTAGCATGGCTATATTAATAAGTCTCCATGACAGGGGGTGGAGAGCCGAGCCCTTGGGGTGAAATGATTTCTAAGTAAAGTACACAGGGACTCACAACTTACCCCCCTGCGGGGTGATTTGTGCATGTGCAAACAGGGAACATTCACCCCTTGGTCCTTGCTGCAGCAGAACTCCGTTCTTCCTTTCCCACCTCACAAGGAAGCTCCGATTCCTCTGTCTGCTCCTATATCTCCTAAGTCAAGGTGTTGTGCTGGAATAGGGATGTTTATGAGACAAGATGATCGTATTTTGTGGGGCTAGAAGACTGGTCCTGCAGGTATAAACTCAAAACTCAAGCAATCCAGGGATCCGACAGGTAAGACCTTCGTTGAAAACCTTCCAGCTGAGATACAGTTCATTTAAATATAAAGATATTGTCTCATTACAGGGGTATTTCATACCAGTCCTCTATCCAATTGATGTTTTCAGTCAAGTACCTCAAAGTGCTGGATGGTGTGATCAGGGGGCAGGGAAACGAGAGAGATGTGAGAGGGCTGCTCGCTGCAGCAGACCCACCTGCCCATGCAGCGGCACGTGCCAAGGTTGTTCCTTTTGCTACAGCTCTTCACAAAAGCAGCAAAAGTTCATCATCAGAAGAAACCGCTTATGAAAAACGCCTTGTGTGCAGGCAGCCACGCCAGAGCTTGGTAAAAAGTTGCGTCTGTTTTGTTAACTCTGAGGAAGAAAATTCAAGTCCAGTTTTAAAGCTGACTGGCAACAGAAGTTGTGAGAATTATTTTTTCCTTTGAAAACGTGAATCAGCCACTAGCATTAAAGCACGTGGAGAAAAAACCAACCCCACAAAGCAAGCCCTGGGAAAAGGGCAATTAAAAAGCTCTCGTCGCCCCGCGCCTCACCTCACCTCTCCTGCTCCCAGC